GGTGCGGTCCAGCAGCGCGTCGATGGTGGGCTGCAGCAGATGGACGAACACCTGGGCTCCAGGGGTGTCTGCGCACGCCACCTCCACCTACCGGCGGCACGTGGCGTCACCCGAAGACCCCGGCGGCGCGATACACCGTCGCCAGCAGCGGCCGCCGACCGGGCAGGCCGGAGCGCCGGCGACAGCGGAACACGCCCCGCGCGGCTGCCGGAGAACGGGTGGCGCAGAACTGGAAGGTGTTTCATAATTTGATACAATCAATCTGGCTAAAGTTGTGTGCAATATTGCAAATAGTACCCGGAAAAACACGCGGACGGGCGGGACAACGTGCACTTAACCTTCGGCTACATGATGGCAACTTCGTTGGAGTTAAGCACGTAACGCGAAGCAACGGCAGCAGACCGCCTTTCGCCAATTACTAAAATACTCGTCATATAAAAACCCTGCGCTGGTAGAATGTCATAAGCTAACATTGTGAACGTCACTAGGGAGTGGGCCTGGAAACTCTAACAACCGTTTTTTAAAAATAAATTTATTCCAAATAGTTTGCATGGGTGGCTTGAGTACAGGGAATCTACCCAGCGGCGCTTACTGTGCGTATCCTCAGCCCCTCACGGAAGTTGTGTCGCGCACTGTTCAACGGACAGTTCTGCATTCGCTCTTTCGACAGACAGGACTGCGGCGTCCCAAGTGGGGCGCGATGCTTCGTCACTGCGCCCGGCCCCAGGGCTGACCTCGTGGCCAGGTGACAGCTGACACTCCCAAGCCAGTCGGCACAAACCATGCACTAGCTCTGGAACTCGTGCCCAGCGCCACTGGAAAACGAGTTCGGCACCTTGCCCCAGATCCGCGAGGGGTTTTTATTCTAATTTGGTTGTCGGGGAGCCAGTTCACCCGTGCATTAGGCGCGGCTGTTTGACAACTTTCAAGATCAGCGAAAAAGGAGAAGATGCGATGTAGTATTACAGCGAGCGTGTGAACGGGAGCGGCGTCCGCTTGGTATTCAGGCGCTCACCGCGGCGCTACGATCTCGTCGCACTGAGAGGATGGCGGGCGCAGAACGCAGACCACGTGTGTGCGTTGTTTGAAGGATATGACCCAACTGAGATACACAATGCGTAGTCCAGAACCTATCACCGCGACGTACTTACCTTGAGTTCCATTCTGGTGATGATTGACGGCGTGCTGAGATAGCAGTAGTTGCAAAAGTGTCCACTAGATGTCTCCGTCAGGTCGTCTGAGCCGCAGACGGAGCAGGCGGGCCAGATGGAGGCGTGCTGCTCGTCCACGCCAGTCACTTGCCCTGAAGGCACAGCAGTGACGTGGTAACATTTAAGCAAGTGTGAACAAATTCCATCACGCGTTCGCCTAAAGAAATCACAGCCAAAGAAAAAAGATAAATATTCTCTAAGGGTGAGACAAAGAGGGCCAAAAGCTGTGACACATCCAAATCCTTCGTTCTCGCAATGTTTTTTATAAGGCCGGATCCATAACCTTGTCTAAAAATATCCAAATACCACTATCACCGGTAGCGGTACTGGACGGTAACTAAGTTCGCCAGACGCCCCGGCCTGCCTGCAGATGCTCGGGAGCGGCTGACGGGCGGACCCAGAGACGCACCGGTCAGGCGGACCAGCTGGTCAGGCCGTGCAGCCGGCGTGAGGGTCGGCAGCGGGCCGGCTGGCGTCCCCAGCGCCAGCTCCTCCCGCCTCTCCGCCGTGGAGTACCTGCCGCCGCAGGGACGCAGCGTGAGCCGGCCACCGGCACGCGCCGGGGCCCTGCCGCGCAATGGTGACTGTTTTGGGCGCTGACCGGCACCACGTGTCGGGCGCCGCGGCCTTAACGTCACTACAACGTCCGAAAGCGACACCAGGGTCTTTCCGAAGGCAGGAGGTGGGTAGCTCACCTGTCCAGCAGTAGCTGGCCGTCCCGCCGCCAGATGTAGTGCAGGCCGGCCGCCTGGCCGGGCGCCAGCAGGACGCCGGCGTCGGGTGCCAGCGCCAGCCTCTGGGGCCCGACCGAGGTCAGCACGAGCAGCGCCTGCGGCAGCGGCGCCAGCAGCCGACAGGCCAGGTGGAGCCGGCCGCCCGCTCCGTCGACCGGCGGCGGCAGCGGCGGCGGCGGACAACCGTCGGCCGGGCCGTCGTCGGGCAGGGCGGAGAGACGGCTCTCGCCCGGCACCGCCTGCAGCACGTAGGTGAAGCCGGCGCCGCTGCCGGTCAGGTGCGTCACCACGCTGGCGAGCGCCGGGCACCTGCCGGACGCGCGCCGCACACGGGGTCAGCGGCAGGCTCTGGTGCGGTGGTCACCGCCGGCGGCCGCCGCCGGCGCGGCTGAGGCTGTCTGCCAGCCCGGTCCTGTCCAGACAGTCAGGCACACACGACAAGATATAAAAGTGGTCCAAGAGCCACGCAGGCATCAAGTCGCAGTGTCACGCTCGCACTCCGCAGCAGCACACGAAATCACGAGAACAGCGCGAGTGCAGCTGCAGCAGTCCAGTGATTGATGCTCAGATAAATAAGCACATATTGTTGTTTTCAGAAAAAAACGCTAGCAGATCGAAACAAGTTTACCTCGCTGTGACCCAGCGCATTACGCATCCATCCCGTAATGATAAATATCGAGTTTTTTTCATCCGTGGTAAAAAGGTTGTCTGGTCACCTTCGCACAGCAAAACATCATCGTGTGATGTCACGCCCAGTTTTCACAGCCAGCATTTCTTTGGACATAATGATAGGACAGACGTAACACATCGCAAACGCTGCCCTGCGAGGCTACATTCTCTCCCGCTCACACCAGAGGCAGAGCCGCGGGCTGCGTCTACCACTTCATGCTGGTGCTGGTGGTGCAGCCGCCCATCGGCGGTGGTCCAGGCGCCGCAGCCCCCTGTCCCTGGTAGCGCCGCACCCGTACCCACCCGTCGCTGGTGGTCCTCTGGCGGACCACGAGCCCGGTGAGCCGAAGGCGGCGGCACGGCCGGCACAGGTGGCGGGCCGATCGCAGCAGCGGCGCTGGCACCATGACCTCGGCCACGGTACCGGCCCGGTCCGCCACCAGCAGGGACCAACACCACGGCTCCTCGGCACCGTCAGACGCCTGGCTGTCGGCCGGACACCTGGCACACGGCACCGCCCGGTCACTGACAGGGCGTCACTGACAGGGCGTCACTGATAGGGCGTCACTGGCAGGACATCACTGACAGGGCATCACCGGCAGGGCGTCACTGACAGACCACCACTGGCAGGGCGTCACTGACAGAGCATCACTGACGGGGCGTCACTGCCAGGGCGTCACTGACGGGGCGACACTGACAGACCACCACTAGCAGGGCGTCGCTGACGGAGCGTCACTGACAGGGAGTCACTAACGGGGCGTCACTGACGGGGCGTCGCCGGCGGGGCGTCACTGGCAGGATGTCCCTGGCAGCCTTCCACCGGCGGGGCGTCATTGATAGGGCGTCACTGACGGGGCGTCACTGACGGGGCGTCACTGACGGGGCGTCACCGACAAGGCGTCAACGACAGCCCACGACTGGCAGCTCACCACTGACAGAGCGTCGATAATAGAGTGCCACTGGCGGGACATCTCTGACAAGGCGTCACTGACAGGGCGTCACTGTGATGGCAGACATGACGCGTCCGCGCCCAGCAGACGCGGACACAGCGGCTGGCCGCCACGGCCGCCGCGGAGCGGCTCCCGACTGGGCAGGATCGCCAGACGAGCGGCGGAACACACGACCTCGAATACGGGTCCGGGCAGCCCTCGAGCCGACGGCAGCGACAACAATGCAAGCAGTCGCACGCTGCAGGCGCCCTGTAATATTCCGTTTTGGTGGCTCAGTACCGACCTCACACGAGGCCGTGCACCCAACGGCACTATTCATGCGCAGCATCACTGTCAGCAGGCAAAACAAACGCGTAAGTTACCTGTATTGGCAAACGTGGAGGACGGTGGCGTCGATCGTCTTCACGACATCAACGCCACGACCGAGAGCGGCCAGCACGGTAGTGTCATCTAGCGAGCTGTCTGACGCTGAAGCTTCTCGAACTGTGGTTAGATGGCTCTGCGTGGGCGGCTGCGGCGACGGCGCTATGATCTTTGGCAAAGGTCGAACGCATTCACGACCTAGCGGCATGTCTGTGGACAGGGGCGAATTTTCAGAAACAAACCGCACGAAACATCGCCAAATAACATCCAGAATCCCGCCAGTTTCCACAGCAGCAGATCTAGCCACCAACCAAGCTCAGTAATCGGCAACACATATCATGCAACGCAACCGACACATTTCAACCACGAATTGACGACGGGATTCCTCGATCCCAATCAAACCAAACATTTTCCTCGATCCTCGTGAGCCCTACGCCCCCGTAGCACAGGCACCACGTGCGTGAGACGGACCTGTCGGGCAGGGGCAGGTGAAGACGAGCCGGCGGGCGGGGCGCGGCTCGGGCGGCCGGCCCGGCTCCACGCTGGTCCCCCCGACGGGCAGCAGCACGGTGCGACTCTCGCCCACCTGCAGCCGCTGCCTGCCGGTGGCCGACACATCCGTCAGACCGCGGCCGGGCCAGCGGCGACGGGGAGAGGTGCCCGGCATGCGGCCGGGAGGCGCCAGTCCGATCAGGCAGAGCGTGCAGACACGGAGACGCACAAGGCGGCCACGCCCAGAAGTCACAAACAGCACCCGCGCTTGATGACTTGCCGAGGACTGCCGTGTCCTTGCCCGTACTGACGCCACGTAGAGCACGCCGACACCTGCATGCACTCGGCTTTGGTCAGCGATATTCCCGATGGAGACACCGTGGACCTCCTGTTCACCGTGACCATCACCCACACAGAAGCCATCCAGGACCTCAGACCGCGGACGTGACAGCGTGCCTTCTCGGACGGCTGGGCCCGACACCGGCGATGACCCGGTCCGAGCCCGAGCCGCAGGAGGGCAGAGACCGCACGCCGGCCCCGGCTGGTGGGGCCGGGCATGGCGACTGACCAGGACTGGTGGAACAGGGGGCGGTCACTGACCACGGACGGTATAACAGATGGTCATTGACCAGAGCCGGTAGGAAAGGGGGTGGTCACTGACCAGAGCCAGTGGAACAGATGGTCACTGACCAGGGCCGATGGAGGAGAAGCCGGTCGCCGGGCGTGACGGCCGGGTGTCCGCCGCCGGTGGCCAGCAGCACCTGGACCTGGCCCAGGTCAGGTGCGCGGCCCAGCACCATCAGGGCGCCGGCCTGACGCTCGCACCGCTCCGCGCGCACCGAAAGCGCCGCCTGAAAACGAGCGCAGGTCAGACTGACGGAGGAGGGGCGCAGGTCAGACTGACGGAGGAGGGGCGCAGGTCAGACTGACGGAGGAGGGGCGCAGGTCAGACTGACGGAGGAGGGGCGCAGGTCAGACTGACGGAGGAGGGGCGCAGGTCAGGCTGGCGGAGGAGGGGCGCAGGTCAGACTGACGGAGGAGGGGCGCAGGTCAGACTGACGGAGGAGGGGCGCAGGTCAGACTGACGGAGGAGGGGCGCAGGTCAGGCTGGCGGAGGAGGGGCGCAGGTCAGACTGACGGAAGAGGGATGCCGGTCAGACCGAGGGAGGAGGGGCGCGGGTCAGACTGACGGAGGAGGGGCGCAGGTCAGACTGACGGAGGAGGGGCGCAGGTCAGACTGACGGAGGAGGGGCGCGGGTCAGGCTGGCGGAGGAGGGGCATGGGTCAGCCAGACGGAGGAGGGTCGCGGGTCGGACTGACGGAGGAGGGGCCAGTCAAACTGCCCCACGCGGGGACGGACTGCCACCGATGGAGACCGACCACCGCACACGACACGCACACACAGCGGCGCGAATCGGACGAGCTACCACACCACAGGAGAAGCGAGCGGGACCAAGGTGAGCGCCACTGGCCCGGGGCGCGCTCGCCCGTGCCGGGCCGGCGAGTGCGGGCTGGCCAGGCACCTGGTCCGCTAGGCCGTCGCTGCGGTGCCGGTTCATCCGAGCGAAGGCAGCGCTCCTCTTCAACAGTCGCCGCAGCTTCTGCACCAGACCGCGCCTGCCGGCAGCGCCCGCACATCAACCGGTCAGTACACGGGGCCAGGGGAACACCATCGCGCCCGCTCAGCGTCGTGGGCCAACGTGCACACACCGAACAGTGGATACAGAGAACAATGGACGTGACGAACAGCGACAGAGAAATGGTGAGTGCGCCGTACAACGGGCGCCTCAGACATTGAGTGCGGAGCGCGGGTGCACTGAGCAGCGGTTGCTCTGGGCAGCGGGTGCACTGAGCAGCGGGTGCACTGGGCAGCAGTTGATCTGAACAGCAGATGCATGGAGCAGCAGCCGATCGGAGCGGTAGGCACACCGAGCAACAGTTGATCGGAACAGCAGGCGCACTGAGCAACAGTTGATCTGGACAGTGGGCGCACTGGACAGCGGGTGTACTGGACAGCACCCGCTAACAATCAGTCAACAATCCGTGCGCCGCTTACGCCGCGAGCCTGCCCGCCTGAGCAGGCCGCGGACTGACCGTTTGGGTTGGGCCTTCCTGGCCGAGGCCGGCGCCTCAGCCGGCTCGGCGGTGGCCTTCTCCGGGGTGGTCTCGACGCGCCGGATCTGCCGCACCCAGTCGGACGCGCGCCGCTCCCACTCCTGCCCCCACACATGGAGTCAGCACAGTGACAGAGGTATGTCCTGGCTGGGCCATGTCTTTATCATGACTCAGAAAGTGGCTGCGCGGATGGCGTATTTCTGCCCGCCAGTCGCAGCGACAGTCATTCATTTATACAGAGTGCGGTCTTTCAGTGGCTTGCAGGGAATTTATGCATAATGCTGAGTGTGGTGATGCAATCACGAATAAGCTAACAGGATGTACTGAATTCAGAGGGACAGCGGGTTGCAGGAAATCAAAACCCACAACAATGTGCATATGGGTGATGCGCACAGCTACCGTACGCTTCTGAACGTCCCATTAATTGCCTCAGACATCCAGCTAAGCCATTAAACGATTAACGAAATGGAAGTAATGTTTGGTCTGTAGCGTTCAGTTGAGCACAGGCCAGCATCAGCTGCCGAACGTTAGGTCATGGCGCAGTCCCGCGTCCGTCTGGTGAGGTGGCCGGCTGCTCCCGCGCTGACCTGCGCGGGCGGCTGGCGGTGCGGGGCAATGACGCGGTCCAGCCAGCTCCTCCGCTCCTGGCTGGACACGGTCGGCACGCGTGCAGACTCCAGAGCGCGGCGCAGCTCTTCGCAGACGTCCGGTCGCACCCGGCGCCGCTTGGCCGGACCGGCCGTCTCCTCCGCCTCCTCCGCGGGCTGCGGCGGCTCCGACGGCTGCGGCGGCTGCGGCGGCTGCGGCGGCAGCGGCGGCTCCGACTGCTCCGACGGCTCCGGTGGCTCCGGCGACTCTAGTGGCTCCGGCGGCCCCGTTGGCTCCGCCGGGTTCTCCCGGCCGTTCCCCAGCGCAGCCTCGGCGGACGGGGGCCGCGCTGCGGGCGGGAACAGCTGGCGAGCCGGGCCGTGGCGGTGCCGCGCCGACCTCGCCGCCGACACCTCGGGACTCGGTCCGGCCGAGGGCTCGCCCGCCGCCGGTGCCAGCACGGTGGACCTCTCTGGTAACTCCGCAGCCAGCGACGGCTCGTCAGACGCCACCGCGCGACGCCGCTGGAAAATCGCGCTGCGCAGCGTTCTTGCCCCGGGTTCGGCGCTGCCCGGAGCGCACCAGTGGCCGGCGTGCGGGACAGCGGCCGGACCGGGCCGGCTACCGGCGTCTGTGACGACCCCGGCCGCGGGGCGGCGCTGGCCACGGCGCCGCTCGATGACAGGCGAGCCGCCGAGCACCGGCGACGCCCGGTCGGCGAACGAGCTCGTTCCGCGGTCGGACACCGCCGGCGCGCCGCCCAGCGGCGGAGAGCCGCCAGCGTCGGCGGCGGCGCGCGGCGCCCCGAGGACGGGCGAGGAGGACGGGTCCTCGCCGGGCGCGGCGGCCGGGGGAGACACGGACCAGCGCCGATGCGGCGCGCGAGGCCCGACGCTCGGCGGCCCACCTCGGGCGCGGCGCAGGACAGGAGAGCACCCCTCATCACCAGAGTGGCGCAGCTCCCACCGCGCGGCAAACGCAGCGTTGCTCAAAGAACGTTCTGAAGTCCGCGACACCGACACCCTCCCACTTCGGGAGTGCTGAGGTATCGCTACTATCGGGGACGCGGCCTGGTTCCGGGCATTCGGAGGCGCGCCCACCACGGGCGACGCATCGTCGATAGAGGGCGGAGGCGCCTCGTCGTCCGGCGGGACGGGAGCGCCGCCGTCCGAGACCTGCGGCTGCGGTGCGCCCGGCGCTGCCGGGGCCGGGGATGAGCTCTGGGTCTCGGACCAGGAGATGTCGTCGGAAGAGTCATCGTCGTGAGTCGCCGCCGCTGGCAGCAAATCTGCATCCACATGGTGAAAGGTGCTGATGATGATGTGATCCATAAGTAAATTCTAGCCTGTGAAGAAATGACACACCCATATTATACTGTAATTGATAATGGTCAGCCTTCTGTTGTAGACATGCACAATCATCTCTGACAGTCATCAATAGCATTGTAAATTGTGATCAGACAGTGAAAGGCTTCTCAAAAGCATATTTTTATACAATAAGCATAAAGTGGTTCCCAGTTTGATAATATTTCTAAATTACTCCATTATTGACATCTATTTTGCTGTTCAATTTCAGCTTGCAATGAAAACTAGATGTTCACAATTACTTGACATATTCAACAAGATCCAGATTTTCAAGAGTATGCAGGAAACATACCAATATATTCTTTTAAAAAATTGGCAAGGAATGAGAAACCACTTGTGGAAATTTTTTTACATTGCATTTCATTGCTTTCCCCTTCCTCCAGAGTGACAATGTGCTACATAATATATAATAAAGAAAAGCAGAACAATGGCAAATGGGACAGGCATTATGGGCACCAGGCTACTTTGTGAACAGCGGCAGGAATGCTGTCAGCTGGTGATTCTCAAAAAAGGTTTGAGCCAACCATACTACCTGGGACTTGAGGGCAACAACTCTGCTTTTGTAAGACTTAAAAAAACAATGCATTTTGCAGACTGAATGCAAGTGTCTTATAATGATCCAGCAACTATGCTGTGTTGCTTCTTAATATCAGCAGTGCTTTTAACATGGTAAATTATTGCTTTCAGGTCAAAATTCCTGAGCTGATCACTATGTCACATGCCATCATCTATTGGGAAGTAACACAGCTGTTATTTACATTTTTGCAGGGGGCTGAGCATGCATCCAATCACCAGCCTTTTTGTGATGGTACAAAGGCCACGGTATGGACACCCCAGTCAATTCAGAGCCTGGTAAATCTGCATCTCATCAATTCAGATAGTATCTGTGATTACACTTATTCTGTTGATATGTTAGCTAATACAATATCAAGTCACAAGCAGCCATTTACAAAACAAATGATATGGGGAGACATTTATCATGCCCAGCAACCAAAAATTAATCCCCTGTGTCAGGTGCCTGCATGATACTAGTACTCAGAGCCTGGTGCACATGTGTGCCAATCTCAGGACAGCAACAAATGGTATGCTGAACTTTCAACCTTATTCTGCTTGAAAAACGTATTGCAGCCATTTTAGCGTAAACTGAATCACAAATGGCAGAACGCCAATGCCAATTCTTTGGGACACTGGCTCTCCATTTGCTGAAATTGGTGAATTGATAGATTTGGTGGTGGCAGACTTATGCCATACAAGCACAGAAAGCCTTGACATTGTCGCTGCTAGTGAATAGCTGAAGTAGCTGACACCCTCTATAATGCTAATCATCACCACATACATTGCTGCTACCTAGTATACCACCAGCATGACAAATATTTTTGATCCCGCTCAGTTGCCAATGGTACAATCCATCCAAGATACGGCAATGAAATGGCATCAATAAAACCACACAGGGCCTGAACATACCAGACTTGAGTGGCTGAAGCATCAGAAGCTGAACAATTAGATATCCGATTAGCTTAAGGCTGTGGAATACCTAAATTAGCTTTCCAAGATCGCTCCACCTCCACCCTGAGCTACAACTCAGCCTGCGAAAAACATGCTTGCTGGCTTGAATAGGCGCGACAAGTCCGGTTATTAAACATGCTTCCAGATTCTATTATTGCTACTGCCATATATAGTAGTAAAACTTTAGGCCTAAACTCTAGGCCGGACGTAGGTCCTGGCGGTTCTTTTTATAAAACAGTACCTCTTTATCATCTCACAAGATGTCGCACCAACGCGTAAGCGTACACGCACCGCACGCGCGCGCGGCGGGGGAAGGCACCTGAGGCCTGTGACGTCACGAGTTACCTGTTGAGCCGGAGCGGCTCGGCGGAGCGGGGCGGCAGTGGGAGAGCGGACGGTGGTGCGTCGTGAGCTGATGACGCGCCGTACCGCGTGCCATCCCCACGGTCCGCCATGAACGGCATCCAGGATCGGTTCAACAGTGTGATGAAGAGCTTCGCGAGGAAGGACAAGCAGCCCGCCGCGGAGGAGGCCGACGACGCACAGAAGAAGGAGAGCTACTTCAAGCGTGTAAAGGTAAGCCCTCTTCCGCTCGTGTACGGGAGAAATCTCTACTCGTCGAAAACAAAGCCAAAAGTTGTTGTGGCAACTGGCAAAGGCCCGAGGGCGAAGCAAACATTTTCCAAAGACATGCAAATCTTACACGACGCGATGTGTATCAATAGATCGGTGTGGCCGCTGCCTCACAACCCACACCTCTCACCCTCACGCATCTCGCGCATTGTGCGACCATCGGTCGGATCACGCCGGCGGCGTCTCATCGTGCGTGAGCGGCTGGTCCTCCCTCGGCCGCGTGAGCTGACCGTGCCAGCGACGCCGACCTGGCCCGGTTCGTGGCGCGTACGGCCCGCCGCGCCGGAAGCTCTAATTGCGTCGTGTGACGCGCACCGGACCTCGAGTACGCTACGCGGCCGCCTGGGGCGACGGTGCCGCCGCTGACCGCCGGCCGCCAGCCGCCGACCGCCGACCGCCGGCCGCCTCGCCCAGCGTGCCTCCACGCGCGCGCCGGGCGGCTATCGCGCCGATCCTCGCAGCCGCGGCGCGAGGTGTGTCGGCCTGGTATCAGCCGCGTCATCAGATGATGGACCCGTGTCCTGATGCCATCGGAACCGGTGCTGGGTGCTGGATGGTCCTAGCTTCTCCGTTGATTGGCATGCGGTTCTGAAGCCGAGTTCCCGCTCCAAGGGAACGCACTGTGACAAACTATGTAACCGTGTAAGGCGACGGTTGGGATGACGCCGCGCATCTCGGCCGTTTGTCTCGGCGACGACGGGCGGCGGGGCCGGCCGCCTCTCCGCCGCGCGGCTCCCTCGCCAGGGCCGCCCCCGGTCAGCCGGCCGGAGCTGACCCCGATTCGCAGATCGGCCGCGTCGGCCGGGCCGTTTCGGCCGTGCTGTGCGATTTCGATCGGCCGTGACCCGTTAGCCGTCGCCAACTGACCGCCGGCTGACCGCCGGGCCGCGCCGTGAGGTGCCAGGCGGCGCGCCGAGTCGCCGCCGCCGCATAATGGCACGGAGCTGCTGACACGCCGCCGGAGCGTGGGACGCGCCGTGGGAGCCGGCCAACGGACGGACGGACGGAGGGCGCTCGGTCGGGCGGACCAGGGACAGTGACTTGTCATCAGACAGTGCAGATGGACGGAGACTAACGGCGGTAATTATTATATACAGCGAGTGGATGGATGGACTATCGGGAATAGAATGCCGGGAAGATAATATGAATTCAATTTTGTTTGATGAATGCCAGACCAAATATGTATAAGTATCGGACGACCATAAGGATTGGGAAGGATCGGACAGACGAATATAAGTATTCACGAAATAGCTAATCTGTGTGCGTTTCCGGTTCGCTTGAATTACAATCCAAGGCGCACAACTGATGCAATGAAAAATGCGCATACGTAATGCGCCGTGTGAAAACGTGATTTGTGTGCAATAATCCGCTCCGGCGACAACTCTCAACAGCGTTTGCACTTGTAAGATCCTTCACTATCTCTCGTTGTGGCATTGTGTCACTTTTAATACTTTGATTTTCATAGCAAAATATATATACAAAGAGAGAGAGAGAGAGAGAGAGAGAGAGAGAGAGAGAGAGAGAGAGAGAGAGAGAGAGAGAGAGAGAGAGAGAGAGAGAGAGAGAGAGAGAGAGAGAGAGAGAGAGAGAGAGAGAGAGAGAGAGAGAGAGAGAGAGAGAGAGAGAGAGAGAGAGAGAGAGAGAGAGAGAGAGAAAGAGAGAGAGAGAGAGATATATATATATATATATATATATATATATCCTATGGCAGGAATTTCCCAAAGTATGAACACTCATTACGAACTCCAGTTGGAATTTGCTGTTACCAAGGTTACCACGAAGCAGATAAGACGGGAACGGAACTGATGCCTGCTGCGCCAGGTGGGTCTGGAACGCCGGCCGACGTTGGGCTGCACCTGGTGACTGTGTGTGGACCAGCGGCATCCATGAGGGATGCAGTTGGCTACCGCTGTCTGCAGAGGTCGGCAGCCGGTGACAGTCGGCTGCCGCTGTCTGCAGAGGTCGGCTGCCGGTAACAGTCGGCTGCCACTGTCTGCAGAGGTCGGCAGCCGGTGACAGTCGGCTGCCACTGTCTGCAGAGGTCGGCTGCCGCGGTCTGCAGAGGTCGGCGGACGCACCTGTCCCATCGATCGATCCCGCGTGTCGCACTTGACGGTCATCGTCTCCTGCCGGCGGCGGCCGCAGAGCCCGCACGAGCTGCCGGGCTTCAGCCGTCACTCCGGGACAGGCGGTGCCCAGCACCCCAGCGTGTCCGTGAAAACCGACCGGGCTTCTTTGGACATAATATGGCGTAATCTATAGGTTGCGGTGGGCCGCATTTGTTTTTAACTTTAATGCTGCGTAATAAAAGCGATGTTTCAGGCTCGCCGAACGATCCTCAGGAAGTCTTCCATGCATTTCCTTAAAAAGAAGCCACCATGTAGACTTCTATAACATTTGGGGCGCAATGGCTGAGTGATTAGCGCCTTCGGCTCTGCACGTGAGGAGCTCGGGTTAGAATTCCGGCTGTGTCAAAGTGCTTGCGCACTCGTGCAGCCACTGCAGTTGCTGACGCTCCATAAAAGGGTCTATGAGGACGTGCGTGCACTTCCATTCTTCCAAGATAACAACATTTTAAAATCGTAAATCGTCCAAGTCCAACTAGCTGCACGTGTACCGTAGGTCAGGTGCGCCACAACTATCGGGACCGCGTGTGAACCTGTTGTATCTAATATTGGATCAGATTCCGTTTGGCAGCGTTTAGCTTGGAGACGCGTAGCTGCGGTCGGCCTGTGTGCACGACTGAACTTAAATCGCCGCGCTTATATGAGTTAGCCACGCAAAGCCTCCACCTGATCGCCGTTCAGGGCACCAAGCACAGCTATCCAAACAGAGGAAAACCAACGACAGAGGGGGATATCAACAAAGGATAAAAAACAGGGGAGAGTAAAAAATACCAAACATCCAAATTGCAAACAAACCGCGACCAGAGGCGCTCGGGCGGCGGCGTGCTGTCTGGCGCTGGCCGTGGCCGCGCTCATCCCCCGTGCCCCCCATCGGCCGACCGCTCCGAGCCTCGTGCCGCCCCGGGCCGGCGGAGGGGGGGGGGGACGCCCCACAAGGGGACCGCCGCGGACACCTGAGCAGGGCGCCACGCCAGAGGTGTCCGGCGGCGGCGGCGACGGTCGCGCCGCGCATCGCACGCCCCGCGGCGCCCGGCCTGGCCCGTGTCGCGGCCCGCAGCCTGCACGCCGACGCTGCTGTCACGCTGCACGCTGGCAGGTGACGCGCGCCAGCAGTGCACCAGCAAAAACGCCCGATGGGCAGGTGCACCAGCGGTGCAGTTAATTAATGTACGCTGTTGTAATGCCGTCTGACGATCATCTAAAAGCACGCACCTACACAATAGCCCGAGCTGGAATCGGGCATTATAGGAGAAATGATTTGCGCCGTACGATTTCGCACAGTCAGATCTTAGTAAATGACGAAATTATGCTTCTGACATAAGCTAAGCAATGTTGCGCCATGGTCTAATTTGCCCATACGAACACGATCCATGGCCTTGCTAATGGCGCCACGCATCAGTAACGTGCACTTTATGTGGCCCGGTTTTAATTCTGACGTAACACTCTTGTCCAAAGGCAAAAATACATCACGACGCTCAGAAGCCCTACATTGCGGTGTTTCGACACCGAGCGATGGAGCCACGTGGTGTCACCATCACGTGGAGACAATGGCGTCCCCAGCACGAGGCGCCACGAGCGTCAAAGATGATTTACATGTATGGGGTTGATACTTTGGCATTGCTATGCTAACGCCGCTGTCGAGTGTATTGTCGGGAAAACAGCATCTGATTTCGGTATCATCTGACATATGTAAAACAGTATCAGAAGTGACGGTCATCGACGTTGCAAGTACAAATGGAGATCCATGCATAAGTGCTTGCCGTTGAGAGGAGATTGTGATCGTAGGCTTTACAACACAATAAAAGCTCCCCGAACGCAACGGGTGTCTAGTTCTTACTGGCTTGGTTGGACGAGTTATTCTTACACATGCTGTTATCAGTCCGGCGAGTTGTCATTGAGTGCGACGAGCTGAACGAGCTCAATTACCCGAACGGGTTGGCATTACTCAATGAAGGAGTGCCACGAGGTTTTCTTGTCACTGGCTGGTAAGGCGAGCTTTGTGCCACTCTGGTAAGAATTCTTACCGCTGGCCGTCCGGGTGCCTCCACCGCCAACCGTCAGAGGGCGCGACTGGGAGACAGTCCCTCGTGACCAAACACGAGCTGAGCGATACAAATCGTGGCTCCTTTTGCGGCCGTTTGACGGTTGGCGCCGACCCGGTCCTGCGCCGGCGGCGGCGGCAGCAGCGGCGGCTCCGGCCGAGCACCTCCCTCGGTCGGCCGTCCCCGTCCCCGTGCCCGTCGCCGTCGCCGCGGCCAGCCCGTTGTGTCACCGCCTGCTCCGGCACGCGGTGTTTCGCCACCGACCGCAGGCCCCGCCCGCTGTCTCAGCAGCTGTCAGGAGCGCGTCGGCCGGCGGTGGACGCGCGCGTGAAGGACTTCCGCCTCCCCCGCCGCCACCGCCGCCGCCGCTGATAATGAGCCTCCATTTGATCGGGCAGCGAGCGGAGACCGTTAGCGGCCCGTGACACGGTGCGGTGCTCTCGCGTCTCAGTCGCACGCTGACGCGAAGGAGGCGGTGTGTCGCCCCCCCCCCCCCTCCCTTCTCCAGAGCGGCTCCACCGCAGAGACGGCTGGTTAGACGTTCTCTGAGACCACTGTATGATGGATGTTTCTATAGCGTTTGCTCGCGTCGCCTGCCTTCGAATCGCCTCCCATCGTACGGCTGTTTTTCCCATCGCTGAAATGCGGGAGCAGAAAACGCTGCGCTCTCTGTGGTAGAGCAGGGGTAACGACAAACATGCGCGCAAGACGAATTGTGCGTGTGAGGCATCATTTACGTCCGTAAAAATTCATGCTTAGTTTCGCAGAAATAATA